TTTTTTTTTTTTTTGAGACAAAGTTTCGGTCTTGTTGCCCAGGCTGGAACGCAATGGCACGCAATGGCACGATCTCAGCTCACTGCAACCTCTGTCTCCCGGGTTCAAGCGATTCTCCTGCCTCAGCCTCCTGAGTAGCTGGGATCACAGGTGCCCACCACCATGCCCGGTTAATTTTTTGTATTTTTTTTTAGTAGAGATGGGGTTTCACCATGTTAGCCAGGATGGTCTCGATCTCCTGACCTCGTGATCTGCCCGCCTCAACCTCCCAAAGTGCTGGGATTACAGGCGTGAGCCACCGTGCCCAACCCTTAATTTTTAGTAGAGAAGGGGTTTCAACATATTGGCCAGCCTGGTCTCAAATTCCTGACCTCAGATGATCCACCCGCCTTGGCCTCCCAAAGTGTTGGGATTATAGGCGTGAGCCACTGCACCCATCCCAAATTTTTAAATATTTTTAGTAAAGCCAAGGTTTCGCCATGTTGGCCAGGCTAGTCTCGAACTCCTGACCACAAGAGACCCACCCCCGCCCCGTCTGGGCCTCCCAGAGTGCTGGGATTACAGGCGTGAGCCACTGCGTCCAGCCATTTTTTTTTTTTTTGAGACGGAGTTTTGCTCTTGTTGCCTAGGCTGGAGTGCAATGGCATAATCTTGGCTCTCACTGCAACCTCTGCCTCCCAGGTTCAAGCAATTCTCCTGCCTCAGCCTTTCAAGTAGCTGGGATTACAAGTGCACACCACCATGCCTGGCTAATTTTTGTATTTTTAGTAGAGATAGGGGTTGACCATGTAGCCCAAGCTGGTCTTGAACTCCTGGGCTCAAGTGATCCACCCACCTCAGCCTCCCAAAGTGCTAGGATTGCAGGTGTGAGCCACTGCACCCAGCCTTATTATTATTTTTAGAGATGGGGTCTTGCTATGTTGTCCAGGCTGGATTGTAACTCCTAGGCTTAAGTGATCCTCCCACCTCAGCCTCCCAAGTAGCTGGGATTGCAGGCACACACCACTTCACTCTGCTAGACTCTTCTGTTTTCAAGACAATATCCTTAATTGATTTGCTAGAGGGGTTGGGAAAGGGACTCCTGATGTGACAGTATAGGATAATGGTTAGAATATGGGATTTGGAGCTGAAACCAGGTTATCTCACTAAATAACTATGTGGCCTTTCACCAATTACTTATCTAAGCTCCAGTTTCTATAGCTGTAAAATAAGGATAAAGACAATACTGGCCAGGCACGGCGGCTCATGCCTGTTAAAGTGATTCTCCTGGGCCAGACACCGTGGCTCACGCCTGTAATCCCAGCACTTTGGGAGGCCGAGGTGGGCAGATCATGAGGTCAGGAGATTGAGACCATCCTGACTAACACAGTAAAATCCCATCTCTACAAAAATACAAAAAAAATTAGCCTGGCGTGGTGGCATGTGCCTGTAGTCCCAGCTACTCAGGAGGCTGAGGCAGGAGAATTGCTTGAAACCAGGAGGTGGAGGTTGCAGTGAGCCAAGATTGCGCCACTGCACTCCAGGCTGGGCAACAGAGCGTGACTTCGTCTCAAAAAAAAAAGACAATACCTACTTCTAAGAGCTGAGGTATGAATTAAATGAGATAATATACATAAAGCATGAAGGAAAAAAAGTACATAATACATGAGAGTTATGAATTTGATTATTATTATATTTTACTGCAGGCAACCCTTTTTATCTTCAAAGCTGAACATATATAGAATTCTGGAAAATTAATCATTTCTATATACCAGAAAAGTCTTTTTTTTAGAGACGGAGTCTCGCTCTGTCGCCCAGGCTGGAGTACAGTGGCACGATCTCGGCTCACTGCAAGCTCCACCTCACGGGTTCATGACATTCTCCTGCCTCAGCCTCCCGAGTAGCTGGGACTATAGGCGCCTGCCACCTCGCCCGGCTAGTTTTTTTGTATTTTTAATAGAGATGGGGTTTCACCGTGTTAGCCAGGATGGTCTTGACCTCCTGACCTCGTGATCCACCCACCTCGGCCTCCCAAAGTGCTGGGATTACAGGCTTGAGCCACCGCGCCCGGCCACCAGAAAAGTCTTAAAGGAGTACTGCAAAACCTTTTTTTTTTTTGAGATGGAATGTTGCTCTGTCACCCAGGTTGGAGTGCAGTGGTGTGATCTTGGCTCACTGCAACATCTGCCTCCCGGTTCAAGCAATTCTCCTGCCTCAGCCTCCCAAGTAGCTGGGATTACAGGTGACCGCCACCAAGCCCGGATAATTTTTTGTATTTTCAGTAGAAACAGGGTTTCACCATGTTGTCCAGGCTAGTTTTGAACTCCTGACCTCAAGTGATCCCCTTGCTTTGGCCTCCCAAAGTGGCCTCCCAAAGGATTACAGGCATGTTACCACTATCGCGCCTGGCCTGCAAAAACTCTTTGAAACAAAGGTCTGCCAAACAATTTATCTTTGAATTACTGTTTATGGTATGCTTGCTGGTTGTTCAAGGAGCCCCCGGTGTCCCAAGGAATTTAATTTAAAATTACCTGAAATGGTTTTTGCATAAATATGTTCCTTATAGTGT